AGAGAGAGATAGATGGTTGGGGTGAGGGAGTTTCAGGGGGTGGTTTTCGGTGAGGAAGAGAGAGGGGTAAGGGCTCGAGGTAGAAAAAAGTTTGGATTGTTTAATGTCGTTGCCTTTGTATTTTCTGCATCTAATAATACAACAATTATGAATGTGAGGTTAAGGAGTTTCGGTGGGTGAGTTTCGATGGGGTAGGGAGAGAGGGTTTGTAGAGAGAGAGAGAAGGAAAAGTATAGAGAGAGAAAAGTTTGAGGCAGAAAAATATTGGAATGAAAATAAAATGAATAAACGAGGGTATTCTGATATTTTTATAAATTCTGTAACGTCCATACACTGTGACACTTTATTTTTAAGTAGAGGGGGCTTAATACAATAGTTAAAATTACAAGGAAATTATATGTAAATGACCCTAAGTATAGGGGGGAGTTGTTGTATTTAACCCTATAAGAATCACAACGACTGTGTGTAGTTTCCTCGCAGTTTACTCAAAAAGATTTGTTTGTCCAAGCCATCGAAGTCGAGATCAAGAGGACCTTTCCTGGCAAAGGAATTCATGTCCTTTCTCTCTCTTGAATGTACATGTACATGTATATGTATGTCCATCCATTAGCACAAAAATGCACATCACAGACTGATCTCTGTCTTCGAGTCTGAAATGTTTTGAGTCTCTCTCTCTCTCTCTCTCTCTGGGTCAACATTTCGGCATGGCGGTGAATTCAGATCTAAAGCCTCTTTCAATTTTTCATTGCAAATAATGAATCTGTTTTTTGTGGTTTTACTTTCAAATTTTGCACTTGATTCTGGAATTTTGGTTGCATTACAGTATCTCCAGCTATCTTCATCACTACACTCGACTAACGGACACAAACCACTTACTCTATTAGTTTTTGTTTATTTCCGCAAAGGCAGTGAATTTCCAGCGAAGAGGTGTGATTTTTTTTTTTTTAGCGTAATTGAACTTTGAATTTATGTTAATAGCTATGTTTTTTGAAGTAATCGAACTATTCAACACTGCGATTCTCTAGTTTGACCTAAATTTTTGCTGTTATTGACAATCTACGGCCATTTCATCCTATTTCGGAGTTTAGCTCTACGAATCAGCAAATCTATTCGCATTTATGTGCATTGGAATTATAAAATACGATGATTAGTCTTCATGTGTTTCGTTTATGTGAATTCTTCATTATAATCAACATTAGCATCATAGCCAACACTAATCACGATAATTTGAACCAGAATGTTGTTATAGTTGACTAATGAGAGGATTCTCTGTTGTCTATTTTTGCAGTGCCAAGATACCTATAGTGTTGTAGTGTTCCCTGATGAAGACACCACCAATCGACAATGTGAATCACAGTTAGATATTCTAAGCCTTGCAGAAGTTTCCAATTCCAACAAAACTCCGATGTGCTCAGATTCTCAATCAAATTGCAAAAATCACGTCAATCTAAAGATGGAAAGTGTGGATCCCCATACTCCAGGCATTTTGGGTGTAGATATTGAGAAGGGAAAATTGGAGATACCGAACCCCAGTGATGGAACTATTGGGATTTTGAAGACCGAGGATCCATTAACTGTAAGTTCCCTATGAGTATAATTCAATGTTCCAACAAAAATACTTGTATGCATAAAAAACCCCAGGTTCGGTGTCCCACCTGAAAGGTAAATAATACTAAGGATCACCATGTTTTGGATGATGGAACACCATAATCCATGCATGGAGAATGAAATTCTACACGGAAAACATACATTACATTTAACAATATAGAGCTTTCTAACTTTAACCAACATTTATTTCGTACCCGTATGTTGCATTCGCAAATGTCATCTATATTGTCCATACTGAATTTGATTCTCCACTCACAAATTATGGGGTTCTATCCTTTGCAACCCGTTGATCCTTAGTATTAGTCAACCTGAAATTACCAAGTGTACAACTCCAAGTATGATTGACTCGAGAACAGGTGTTCTCTGAAAACCTCAGGCGTTTAAGTGAATGGATCTTCATGCAGTTTTTGTGTTGTCATTGCACCTTTAATTAGCTTTTACGCCGACTTAATAGCATTTGCAGTGGGCATTACAGAGAGAGATTTGCTCACAGATAGGAGGGCTCATGCAGCTGCTAACGAACCACAGCCTTATGCTGCCCAAGTTCATTTCTAGAGGTATATAGGCATCTTTAAGTGCAATCAGCCCCACATATTTACACCAAACTATTGTTTCATGCAATCTTTGGACTCTTATCTGTTCTGTGTGGCTTTATATTTAAATGTCATGGATGTATTTATTCATATTTTGTTGCACAAATAACAGACTGGAAACTCTCCCTGACTGAGTAAACATTCAAAAGTAACAAAATGCTTCACCGTGGAGCAAGGTGCAATAGGGCACTCTAGTTGATGAAAATGCATAGTGTGCCATACTGAAGAATGTTCAACGTCTTTCCTCATAATGTGTAGACATGTGAACATACACTAGCAAGACACTATAGTAGGAAGAAAACACCAGAACAAGTTATTTTTCATGAAAATGTGACATCACAAGTATAGGGCTCAAATGTGCATGGAACTTCTTTTAGCCCATTCACCATCCACGACTCTAGCTACGGCGATCAATAATGGAAAAGAACAAGAACAACTGTGAGTACGTCTTAACCAGAAAACTGGCTGGGGATCCAACCCTGATTTTAGCTTAAAGCATAGGCATGATTTGATCCAACCGAGAGCCTGGTGGTCGTTACATGCATTATTAAACACAATTTCAGGTTTCTTCGACCCAAAAATATCTCAAAGGACAGAACTCATTTTAATACATGATTCCAATGCACAACATGGCCAAGCCAGATGGACGGATATTCGGATGACTTTTGCATGAAAATCTCTTTTTTCATCACGTTTCTCTTCTTCCTTGTTCCTTTTGTCTTTCTTGAAAAATAAAGTAACCGTTGCGAATAGCCACATTTCCTACGTGGAGATACAATCTACTTCCCCTTATATAAGAGAATGCATAATGTGTAGTGTTAGTTTACACTCCATCTGACTTGTCCCTTGACATTCCTACTATTTTGCATTTTCCATCTAATATTAGTAATATGTGTAGAAGTGTACCTTNCAGCATTTCCTACGTGGAGATACAATCTACTTCCCCTTATATAAGAGAATGCATAATGTATAGTGTTAGTTTACACTCCATCTGACTTGTCCCTTGACATTCCTACTATTTTGCATTTTCCATCTAATATTAGTAATATGTGTAGAAGTGTACCTTGTGAACTGATTTGTGAGCTGGTTTTTTTTTTTTTTTCGGTCAACAGATAAATCTGCGACAGAGAGAGTTCATGATACACCACGTAACAGGTTGCGGAAATATAAGCGCTCTGCCTCATTCAATTCAAGAAAAGTTGTTCTCCTCTTCTCAGTCTTGTGAGCTCCGTAGCCTTCATATCATGGACTTAAACAAAATCTACAGATTCAATGAAATTTTATTGGCTCCAATTGATTTTCTTAGTACCTACTAGAGTACAAGTTATGTTCTTTTTGTTTCTTTTCTGTTTTTTTTGCTTTACATGCTAATAACAGAGCACATTACTGTCCTTCATTTTCCAATCCTGAACTCGATTATCTTTTCTTTGCAGGTCGAGTATGGGGACGATAATATTAATATACTTGACACTGAGAGTTTGGCGGATTGGTGATGGATACGCTCATGTCTAACAAGACTTACCTTCCGTGCCAGCCATTTGCTGATCTTTTGTAAAAGGGCATCTCATTTCGTTTCTTGATTCTAATGTTTCGGAGTACTTTTCTTCTTCTTCTTCTTCATACATAATTTCATATCACAAAACGATTCTAGTTCATGCTCCCTTGTATATAAACTATTTGTTTCTTGTTACAACTTGATGCTTCTTAGTAAATTAGTTTTGTGTCCAAAGAGAAACCATAGATAGAAACAACTCAAACAAAGCATAGTGAAGTCATGCACCAATCACCTTTTTTTTGCTTGTCTAGACCAAGATTATTTTCGTGGTTACTAAAACCATCTGGTATTCACTCCATTTCTGTTTGATCGATTGCAAATCTTCTGTACCTAACTTTTTTGAACTCTGGAATGTTTGAGATCTAACTGACGTGTTTGGGATCAATCCCAAACATTCTGCACTGTTTTTCTTCTTTTTTTTTTGTCCTTTAGTACCTTAAACCCATTTATGTTGAAACTTCACCACATTTTTTATCTGGAAGTCACCCCTACAACCCCGTACTCCTGCGGCCTATGTTCGAACTAAATAATCTTCAAAAGACAAAACAGTGAGAGAACAGACTGACTAAGGACCCTCAGCCAGCTAACGGAGTTCATGAGGAATCAACTTCAAAGCGAGGTCTTAAACATTAAATCATATCTTACTGNACTAGGAGAGTGAAGGACCCTCAGCCAGCTAACGGAGTTCATGAGGAATCAACTTCAAAGCGAGGTCTTAAACATTAAATCATATCTTACTGAATAATCCGACAGAATCGAGTGAGATATAAATAGATTATATCACAACTTGTGTTGTGGCGAGACGAAGGGATGGAAGGAGCCAGTTCCCTTGCTTGCTTACCAGTAGTAGCTTCACCCTCAACGGTTAGTATCCAGAAGGTTTGGGATGTCTCCAGGATCGATTGGTGTAACCTATTTTGCATAATTGCCAGCTACTCAAGAGGTTCCTCAGTTCAGGAAACAAAAGCTCAGATGGTCTCCCAGTTCATGGTTGTAATCGAGTCAGAGCCCTATCAACGGCTTAAAATGATCTCTTGGTATGACACCAAAAAATTAGATTTCTGTACTATAGTCCCTTGGAATTAAGCTTGTATTGCAAATAATCACTAACCTACCAACAATACCAAACACCACAAGAACATGAGCTTTACATGCTGCATGTTTACGAAATGATACGACCAGGAATTTTTTTAAAAAAATGCATGCAAATTACACGCACTAATAAAAAAACCCTGCAGTAAATTATTATTATTGGTCAGACACTATTAACAAGAGAGGGGGACTACGAGTTTCGAACTGTGACCTTAAGATCTAGCAACGGGGTGGTGGTTATTACAGTCCTATAATAACATTCCTCCTTTTGAAGCAAATAAATTCCTGAAAACATTCTTGAAAAGCAAATCACATACAAACCAAGTGAAAAAGGATTATCATAAGGCTTTCAAAAATAAAAATATGTGGATTAAGTGTAATAGTAAGATGAACCTTGGTATCTTGAAGGCAGACTATTGCCAGCTTCCTCTCTCTGATAATTGAAGAGCCAACTTTTTGCTATATTGACAAGAAAGAATCAGAACCACTCAATCTCAGTGGACGTCAAAATTTACCTAATTTCATTGAAGTATTAGGTGATTCCAACATCTTCCTTCTCTTTTTCTTCCTCAATACATTCTCTAGCACGCGCAACCTCCCCCCTGCTGTTCTGTGTTTGATGTATTGACTGTAGGCTTCAAATTCACGTCGACCATGTCTTCCTGTTTTGTTGACGAAAGGGTTTCCATCCCTGGCAAGGCTGCAGCAATCTTTCGAAACAGAGGCTGCAAGTTTACATGCCCATTGCTAATAAAAATTACAATCCTTTAAGCAACCAAAATAAGGAATTGTCAACATCATTTCTTTTTACAAGAAGCATTTATCTTGGAAGATGAAATTTATGTCGGAATTGTCAACTCAATGTTATGCCACTAACGAATCGTAATACAGGAATACAACTGCTCGAGTGCAGTTTCTTTGAACAGTCTGTGAAGACCGCTTGTAACCCGCACCAAAGATTAGAACACCCAAGAGTGGTTATATGGCTGAGGGTCTCTCCACCCATTGTCAATTAATTTTGGATTTGATGCCTTTAACATGTTTGCAGAGCTGAGTCTGGGATGGTCAATGAGTCAAGCCTCCCACCCACTGGAATTCTTCGCTCTGGTTACTTATCTGTTTCAGTTCCTTTTTTTTTTGTTTTCACGTGTGAGCCTTAGTTGCCATGGGGAGGGTGTGAAGAGAGCTTGTAATCCGTATCAAAAGATTGGAACCATCAAAGGTTGATTATATAGTTCAAGTATTCATTACCAATAATCTTCAAAAGACAAAACAGCGTGAGGCATCGGTACCTTGATATTGAATCCTGCTTTTGCACTGGTTTCTATGAACAGGACTCCAAACTCCTGAGCCTTGGCATTCCCTTCTTCTATTGAAACTTGCCTGTTTAATCATCACAATAGCACCATCAGCATAACTCTACAAGAGAATGACTCATAAAGAGTACATGTGATGTTTCACTCTTTCATCCTGAAAATATAGGCACATAAACTAGCATCCCTTATTTGTTTGTAAATTGTTAGTAATCAGTGCAAGATTAAAGACACTGTCATGAGATACAAGCGAGATTGTTTTACCGTGTAAACATTAAGGGGTAAAAAAGATGCCAAAGGCCAACTTTAATGAACCAATGACGCAGGTTTTCCTGATAGACTGGAAGTGGATACCTTCTTGTCAGCAAAAGAAACTTAAACCAAAACAGAGTGCCACTGGACAAATACCAAAGCTTGTAACCCACTGTATGACTGTGGTTCAACTTAGAAGACCAAAACAACACTTCCATATCAATGGTTTTGATTGCCAATGAGTAAGCACTAATGCAAGATATGAGCCATATGAACTGATGAGAGGTAAAAAGTGAGGTTGTCAAACAAGAAAGGAAAATCAATCAGCTCATTCCCCACCTTTTATCTACAAGATCAGTTTTATTCCCCACAAGAACAATAATGACATCACTGCCTCGCTCTGTACGCACTTCTTCAATCCACTTAGAAGTGTTCAAAAATGATTGCCGATCTGCATAATAACAATTTTGCATGGTAATTAGAGCATACATATGTATGTGTGCAAAACGAAACATGTTACGTACGTTTGCAAGCACGAATACTGTGTACTTGCTGCATAATTACTTGTTTGGCAAAGTGCTCATTTATTTCTTGTAAAAATTACTCTATACCAATAACTGAGGACAGTATAGATGGTTTCAGGCCTTTTCCTCAGTTCATGAATAATGTACCCATATAGATACAAAAATATCAACTGAAAGAATTCTTAAAAGGCCCTCTTCTTTTTACTTCAGATTACTACTCACTAGCAACATCATAGACAATCACTGCTACAGAAGAATCTCGAATATAGCTTGGAATAAGACTCCTAAATCTCTCTTGGCCAGCAGTATCCCTGTAAAGTTGGATTATTGATTGTTAGTAAACAGAAATGATGTGAGGAGCATAACATCAACACTTAAAACTGAAACACTTCATATCAAGAACACACTTCCATAATAATCAAACAACTTTCCATAGTCCCAATGTCCATCACACCCTTTGTAAAACATCATCCATTCGACTTTGGGGGAAAAATGTCTTATCTAGAGTATGTAAATCATTATATTCTTAATAGGAGTCTGTTAGATCCTATTCACATGACAATACGATACAAGACAAGTTTCATACTTATATCTTGCAAAAACTGCTTTGGTAAGTTTCAGAGGAGATACTTCATGTTGCTCAAGGCAACACTTTGAATTTCTGCTTTAAAAAGCCTAACAATTGCAAAGATTACAGGCTGTAGTACACAGTCAAATTCTTGCTTATCTGACCTACAAAAATAGAAAGAAAAAACTTCATACCAAAGCTGCAGTCGAACTGTTCGATCTTCAAGGTACATTGTTTTTGACAAAAAATCAATACCAATAGTAGCCTGCATATCAAATAGCCAAAATGTAAGCAAAAGCAAAAGCTTCAAGCTAATTCAAAAAATTAGCTTAAGGCAATAAAAAACCAAGTTGCATCATATCATAGGATGGTAAGAGAAAAGCCACACTGGTACATGACAGAAGTTTTGACATAAAAACAAAGGTACAATTCATACACCAATGGAAAACTCAGGTTGCCACATCAAGATTTGGAATCATAAAATTATAGACAATCTTGTACAGTTCACAAGCATTAAGATAAAATGAAAATGCAGTCTCACCATAAATATGCATTAGTTACCTTTTTTTCCATGAGATTATAGCTTTTATTTGCAAAGCTGTCATGATCAAAAAAGGTCTAAATTTGCCTATTTTCCAAAGAAAAAATCAGACATAATATATAGTTCCCAAAGATGAATTTATAGAAACAAAGTTTTTATTTTAAAAATACTGTATTTGTGCATAAAGAATTATAACATAGGATCATAGAATCATGTATAAAGAATGATAAAATAGGATCATAACATGAATCATGTGACCTAAATTGAAGATAGTTCCGGAAACCCATAGTCATGAAATTAACAAAAACCATGTCTGCTGGTCAGTACTTTTTGCTCAGTATGTCTCTAATCTGTTTTTTTCTCGCATAGTCGCATCACTGAATAAGAACATGTTTCTGTGCATTTATGGAATATATTTTATCCTCACCAAGCAAATATAATTACACAACATTGATCTAAATCCTTAAGTATATTCAGCTACAATACTACTAACTATCTAATATTATAGTTAAGAAGTTAAATTCTCAACTTATAAAAGCACAACAACAATCAAGATTGATTCAATTTTCATCTCCTTCGATCCAAAATGGTACAAAATTCATTCCAATTTTTTTTTCCTCTAAAAAACATCATATGTTCCGCACGTTCACTTTAATTATAAATTACATAATTAAAGACAAGAAAAAGAAAAATAAATTGCTATATATTAAAAATATAAATGTGGTACGATCAATGCTCAATTATACAAGACAAGTATATCAAAAATAAATATAATACAACATTTGATCCCCTGTATTTTCATGAGGACATCATTCAAAGCGATATAGGAATCTGGAATTATGAACATAAACCTAGAAATTTAATGAAATAACATTGGAAAACCAAATCAGCACGTCATCACATTCATTTCAATAAGCATTTCGTTTAATTTGTAGCAATTAGATGAAAAAAATTGAAGCGAATACATGAAAATTTGTGGTAAGGTACCTGATAGGTAGTGTCGAATTTGTCGTACATGAAGCGAGTGATGATGCTTGTTTTGCCGACGGATTGATCGCCCAAGAACACCAGCTTGTATTTCGCTAGAGGTGACACCACCGCCATTTTGATTCCTTCAAAATTATGCACTTATTCTCAATCTCTCTCTTCCGCGGGCTTGGCGTTGAGACGCTCAGATCTGAATCTGTGTGATTTTCTCAAGTGTAGAGAGAGAGAGAGAGAGAGAGACACCAATGCTGGAATAAATATTGAATGCCGGCTTTGAATCCAATTTATAGAGTGTGAGAAGAAACCGCGAACCATACGGCGAAGACGGCAAGTCAAATGTTTGAAAATTGCATGTGGATTTTTGTTTTAAGCCTAAATTATGTATTATACCCCTGAAGTTTACACCTGATTTCTATTTGGTCCTCAAGTCTTTTTTTTTTTTGTTTTTTTTTGTTTTTGTTCTGGTCAGGCATGGGGAGGGGGATGAAATTCGAACTCGCAATCTAAAAGTCCAACGGCGAACTGCGGAGCTATGAGGCCACCGCATATTTTCGAATGTAATGAGCTTTCCACCTTTGAATATGCTAAAGTATACCCAACCTATATATTGGTTTATAATAGGGTTGGTAATATTTATAATTCATTACCATCGGTTAATTCATCCAAGATTATCATATAATTATTAGATATAGCTTTGATCTTACCAAGTTAGGCTACTATATTCGCAGAAATTCATTTAATTTATCTGTATAAATTTAACCATAATTATTTATATAAAAGAATAATCAAATATACGAAACTTTTTTCACTAAAGGATTTGTTGAAGATTCAATATATTTAATTTTATTTCGTGTGTGGAGAGATAGTTTCTATAACTTGAATTTATGATATCCAAATCATAAATAGAATTGCCTTAAAGCTTTGTCAAAACCCACCTTTCATACATCACCAACGCAAAACTCATATTTCACAATCCATAATCAATCTTATTCTCTAGTATAAGATTTCTTCAATGCTAGATTAATCATGGACTAACTCACTTGAATTTGGCAAGTTTTACTGTGCTTCGGAATGGATGATTTAAAATTGAGATTTTAAATGTTATATGCATATGAAGACAATGATTGATTTTTCGTGTCTCTCTCCCTAAAGTTCTACGAAGTTTTTTTTTTGGGGGGGGTTAAATACATTATTCAAAAATTGTGTAATTGATTATTTATTATAGTTATCAATATATAACAAAAAAAAAATGAAAGAATTTAACCCATTTCCTTGATTGATATGAGTGATTTTCATTGTGTCAACCAATGCATTTACTCCCTTTGTCTCTTTCTTGCTTGATTTGATCCCTCTCTTTGAATTGTTTCATTAATCAATATCGATGTATTGCTTGATTAGAAAATTTCCATTTCCTCGAGCATTACTCTCTTAACTTTTTCCACCATGAATGAAATTAAACATTTCATTGATGAAAGATCCCTAGAATCAATTCTATATTTGACTCTGATAGATACGTACTTACTAGCATGAATAGGTACTAAAAATGAGACCCCAAAGTTGGGGAATAAAAATTTGAAGCTTAATTGCTTTTTCTTACGTATTTAATGTTTAAAATTATACATATTATTCCCTTATAGTTATATACAAAAGTGAAATAATTAACGTCATTAACAGAATTAAAAAATTACTATAATACCCATATTTTAAAATCAGACTTTTTTTCTTATTTACGCTAATAGAACATAACACACCAACACATTTCAATCAAACACATTGAGTCTCTTTTTTCCTCCAGTGAGGTTTTAATTCTAGATCAAAAATCACTTATGTTTTTCTTACATGTTTTTTGAGTAGGACCGATGTCCTACTTATTTGGGTATTATATTATATATTGTATTTTAGGCACTTAGACAATGTTCTTTTAAAAGGAAACAATGGAATCAAAACCAACAATATGTTTTAGTCGTGTGGAACACACTCTCCTTTAACTTGGATGATAAAAATAACCATTTTACTTTGGTATATAACTATAAAGGGATAATGTGTATAATTTTAAACGTCAAATAAGTATAACGCTTCTAGCCAAAATTACTATAAGATAAAAAAAAAATTTACCCAAAATTTTAACTGTATAACCTAACTTGTATGGTTAAGTTAAATGGGGTTATAGAAACCAAGTATACATCCTTGTACCTGATTTATGTAAAAAAATCACGAGAAATATAATTATGAATGCATAACATATCAGAGATATTAAATTCTATAACTATATGTGATCGAAAAGAAATGGTATTAGTAGAGGATTCATGTTCTAAAATCAATGTTTTCTCATTCTAACCTCCAAGGGTAAGGGATGTTACTATGCACTGGTGAGGTTCGAGACCGCGTCAATCACAAGATCAGAATAGACACCCAACCACAGCCATATTTGTTTAAAGAGGAGTAAAGAGAGACGAACTTTCAAATATTAGGAGATCAAACTGCAATTTAAGTTTGTTAGGAGGAAAATTTCATACGACACTAACCGAAGAATGACAAGATGGACAAAAGTGTTGGAAATAATGGTTTTAAATAAATAGATTTGATATTTATTTATTTAAAATTATTAAGTATTTAATGAAAAATTGTTAAAGTATTTTGTAACTTTTACAAGAAATTTGAATGGTGTGAAATAAAGATGACATGAAAGACTACTAGTTCAAAATTGACAATTTTTAGTTAAAGATATCGATCCAAATAGTTATATCCTTTCAAAAAGCTACTATTAACACTTTTTGGTTAAAAAATATTATTACACATAGTCACAATTTTTTATAAAGTCACAATTGATATCTTTTGGACTATATGTTACTATTTCAAATGGTTGTATATTTTTATAAAATCACCATACCATTAATACCCATTAGATTAAAGACACCATTACAAATGGTTACACCCTCTATGAAAAGTCGCTAATGAGTCTATAAATAAGTGATGCATTATACTTACAAATCATACTATTGAACGATTCTTACTTCTTACTAAAATTGCTCCCTCATTTTACTTCTCTCCATTATCCCAATTCTATAGTTAGTATTTCTTCTATCTCTCTCCGCATATTGCTACATTGTTCTTTCTAAGAGGTTCAAGTACAAAACACAAAGTTTTGTTCGTTGAAATTTTAAATATTCAAATATTGCTTCTTCAAGAAAGAAATTCGTTATATTTTGTGTTATTTATTGTTTATTATATATACTTGTGATTATTAATACATACGCACACTGGGTGTTTATTAAAATGATTTATTTCTCTATTTATTCATCCATAGTTGTTCATTGGGTTTGGAATTTGAGACCGTGAGACTAGTTTGTCTATAACTCCACGTGTATAATTGTAAAAAAAAAATTCACATCGAATTCCTCCTCGCAGAACAAGAAGATCATTACAAACAAACTCTCTGAGGAGCCTTGTGTGAAACCTAAACATTCATAAGATAGGGAGTACTAAATATTAAGTGTAACTACGCAATAAAAAAATAATAAAAAAGATAAAATAAGACGCACTATCATGAAAGTGGTTATGTGTTATATAATTGGGCAGAGACTCATTTGTTAACTCGTTTATTTATTGATGAACTGTTATACCGCGTGACATTACTGATGTGGTGTAACGATATTTTTGATAGGGAGAAGCTGAGGTTTCAAAACTATAATATCGGTTCACTAAAAATTGGAACCATATAAATCGATGCCCGAAACCCCACCAATGGAGAAAAAAAAAATAATTGCAGACGTTTCTTTTCCTCGAGATTTAACATCGGTTAATTAAAATTTAGAACCATATGAAAAAAAAATTCCTCCCGTTTTCGGATAATCCATTGACAACGCCATATGTATCATATATATGACTAAATTCTCACATAAGAATACATGCAGACTGTATGTTTGAAACGTTCACTTTGATCAAAGCACAAACCACACAATGATATAATTTAGGCCTTATACTTGATATGGTTCGCTACGAATTCAATAACAACAACAACGAATTATATCAATAAATTGGGTCAGATGATTAAATCCAGCTAGCATTACTCACCACAAAATTATCCACTGGTCAAGTCAGCATCCACGTGGTTCGAATTGCACTTGTCATAGCCAACATTCTGTGTTCATGCGGATACTAAACCTGAATTGTCTCTATACATCACTACATCATCTTGTGACAGTAATTCCACAGGAACTTAAAAACCACCAACCACCTTAACAGTACTCTCCTTCCAACCACAAACTCAACTCTCAGACATTTACTCACACCATGCCCCACTCACTCATGCTGTTATCAAATGGATTTTTAAGCATACCAAGCCTTCACAAAGAAAGCCGACAAGAGAAAAACCTTCCCCAATGGCTCAGCTGCAAAGTCCTGGAAGTGATTCTGATGGTACCAATCATGTTCACAACCAAAGCATAGTAGTTCCTGCTCAACTCATTGAAATTGCAGACAGCTATGAAAAGAAAGAGCTTTCCTGGTAATACACTAGAATCTTACTGTAAGGATGAAACTTTCGTTTCCTTTCATCCAAAACGACCAAAATGTTTTAGTTTCTATAGAAATCTAAACGCATCCATGATTGAATATCGTAATTCTTATGTTTCAAGGATTTCCAACATGTTTTGGGACGTAGTGATATGTTTTGCCCAATGTTTCGAAATATTTATGAAACAAATTTTCAAATTTTTTCTCTGTTTTCATTACGTTTCTAAAACATCTCCGAGATGTTTTCATTTCTGAGATGACCAAACTTTGCATCTAAACAAAATTTTGATCCTTGTCTACTGTCCTACCATTCATAGATTGGCAAGAACATTTCATTGAGAAAACAACAGTGTGTCATCTTAGATTTATCTGGACTGTTTCAAAACAATCCTACATCCCAAACAATGAATTTTAACTTTGTTTTTACTCTTTAAAAAGATCTTCCCTTATGTGATTCTCAATGTTTTCACTTAATTTCCTCCTTGAGCTAAATCTCATTCACTATTTTGGTGCTTGACAGGTTTGTTGCCTCTCAAATCCCCACAGATCTATCAATTCAAGTGCAGGATATCATCTTCCATGTTCACAAGGTAACAACAAATGCCAATTTCTTGTTAAACCTACAAAGTCTACATATGGTTTATGAGAAACACAAAATAAAGATACCATTCTTTTCATTATGTTATAGTTGAGTAATATTAATATGGTGACTTCATCCTAAAAGATCAATGCTAAAGATTCAACCACATATGCTATGTTCAACAAATAGAGACTATAGAGTAAAGGAAACAGAGAGAGTAACTAACTTCCAAAAAATATTAAACCATCAGCTTATATCAAGGACATCTGTAGACTTGTACTGAAAAGAAAGAAATCACTTATATACCGAAAAGAATTTTCTATTCAGATTGTTCTAGTGTTATTGATGAAATCAAAAGTGTCATGCTTATTTAAAGTTCATACTAATAGAATAAGGAAATACTATATATTCATTTAAAAATAGTTTTTAAGCATTTTGTTTAAGATTTAACATCAATTCATGAACTGATTAAACACAGCTACCAACCGA